TCTTGTAGGGCTGGTTTTGTACTGGAAATTCCTTTAGTTTTTGTTTGTCCTGGAAGCTTTTTATCTCTCCTTCTATTTTTAGTGACAGCCTAGCTGGATATAATATTCTTGGCTGCTTATTTTTTCTCATTTAGTGCTCTGAATATATCCTGCCAGTCCTTTCTGGCCTGCCAGGTCTCTGTGGATAGGTCTGTTACCAATCTAATGTTTCTACCATTGTAGGTTACAGACCTGTTGTCCTGAGCTGCTTTCAGCATTTTCTCTTTGTCTCTGAGACTTGTAAGTTTTACTATTAGATGTTGGGGTGTTGACCTATTTTTCTTGATTTTGAGAGGGGTTCTCTGTGCCTCCTGGATTTTGATGCCTGTGTCCTTCCCCAAATTAGGGAAGTTCTCTGCTATAATTTGTTCCAATATACCTTCTGCTCCTCTCTCTTTCTTCTTCTTCTGTGATCCCAATTTTTCTAATATTGTTTCATCTTATGGTATCACTAATCTCTCGAATTCTGCCCTCATGATCCAGTTGTTGTTTATCTCTTTTTCTCAGCTTCTTTATTCTCCATCATTTGGTCTTCTATATCACTGATTCTCTCTTCTGCCTCATTTATCTTAGCAGTTAGGTCCTCCATTTTTGACTGCACCTTATTAATAGCCTTTTTGGTTTTGACTTCGTTAGATTGTAGTTCTTTTATTTCTCCAGAAAGGGTTCTCTACTATCTTCCATGCTTTTTTTAAGCCCAGCTAGTGTCTTTATAATCGTCATTCTGAACTCTACTTCCGACATCTTACTAATGTCCATATTGATTAGGTCCCTGGCACTTGGTACTGCCTCTTGTTCTTTTTTTTGAGGTGATTTTTTTCTGTCTTGTCATTTTGTCCAGAGGAGAATAGATAAATGAGAGAACAAAATGCTAACAGGGTAACAATGACCCCAGAAACAAACTAAACAAATGAAGAGACCTGAAACCAGGGGAAAAGAAAGGGAAAGAAAGAAAAAAGAAAAAAAAAAGAAAATGAAAAAAAAAAAAAAGAATATGATCAAATATGATCAGATTGGTGAATAGATCAGTGCCACACACTAGATTTTGGGCATATTTTGGTCTGTTAGAAGAAACTGCCTCCCAAAATTTTAAAGAAAGAAAAGCTTATATTTGTACAAAGATAAGGGTAAATACAATGAATAGATGGAATATTATTGTAAAGATGAAAATTATAAAAGAATTTATAAAAGGAATTGATAAGATAAGAAATTGGTTGAAAAAAGAAAGAAGAGAAATTAAAAAAAAAAGGGAGTGAATGTGATCAGGCAGGAGACTAGAACAAAGCCATACTCTAGAGATTTAGGGTATATTTTGGTCTGTTAGAAGAAACTGTATCCCAAAATTTTAAAGAGAGAGCAACTTATATACATACCAAAGTAAGGTTAACTACTATGAAGGGATAGAATATGACTCTAAAAATGAAAAATAAAAAAGATTTTTTAAAAAGGGATTGATAAGATGATGGTTGAAAAAGGAAAAAAGAAAAATGAAAAAGAAAAAGAAAATTCAAAAAATTAACTTTGAAAGACTAATAAATCATGGGAAATAAAGCCATGAATTCTCTGTGCTGTATACCCCTAGCACTGGAATTCTGCTGTTCTCATTGATCGGTAAACTGGGTCTTGGCTGGCTGTTCTTGCTGATCTTCTGGGGGTGGGGCCTGTTGTCATGGTTCCCAAATGTCTTTGCTGGAGGTAGAATTGCCCTGCCCTTGCCGGGCCGGGCTAAGTAATCGGCCCAGGGTTGCTCTCAGTAGCTTTTATTCCCTGCAAGCTTTCCATACAGCTTTGGAGGACAAGAGTGAAAATGGCAGCCTCCCAATCTCCACCCTGGAGGAGCCGAGAACTCAGGGCCCCACTCCTCAGTGAGCCCCCAGAGAAAAGCAGTCAATCACTCCTGTCTCCCTGGTCTCTGGTGCACTCCGTGCTCACCTGGCCTGTGACCGCACATTTCTATCTCTGGCACATGACCCTGTCTGGAGTCTCCAAACCCAGCAGATTCCTGCGGTGAGCTCCCACACTGCTTCTCCCGGGGGGAGGAAGGGGAGTCTCCCCAGATCTGCCACTTGTTCAGTTCCTGCTGGAAGAACAGTGGCCCGACTGCACTGCGGATCATGGTTTAATGCAACCCTGAGCTGAGAGCCCACTCCTTGGCTCTGTCTCTGCGCCAGCTTCCCCACTCCAATACCTGGGAGCTCTGCCTCACTCAGGCACCCCCAGTCTTCCTGTGAGCCCCGATGGTCCTGAGACCACAGTGTCCCAGTGAGGGTTCCACCCCTGGCTTAGCCACTGGAGTGATGTCCCTCAGTGGAGCAGACTTCTAAAAGTTCCGATTTTGTGCTCTGCGGCTCTGTCACTTGCCGATAGCCTCCTCCCTCCCCCTGCGGTCTATCTTCCAGAATATCAGCTCGGATTCACTCCTCTGCATGTCCTACCTTCCAGAAAGTGGTTCGCTTTTCTTTTCAGAGAGTTGCTGCTATCTTTTCTTGGATATCCTGTTGATTTCATAGGTGTTCAGAATGGTTTGATCCCTATCTAGCTGAATTCCTGGGACCAGACGAAATTTAGGTCTCCTACTCCTCTGCCATCTTGCTCCTCCCCCTGGAAATGGAATCTATTTAACAGAGAGTGAAAATAGAGGGTTTGCAAAGAGAGCAGCTGAGGGGAGTCTTCTGAAAGATGGAGAGAAGAGACTTGGTAACTGCATCTCTAGTCCCAGTGTTTATGAGGCAGTTATGTTTTGTCTTCTGCCCTCTAGTACTCATGAGAATATCCATGACATCTTTACAACCCATAAATATGTCAGTTTCTGTTTCTGGCAGCCAAAAAGTTCCAGCTAAAACACATTCTATGTGGCCAGACCTTGTGAACAGAATATTTCTGGCCTTCATAAACCACTCCAAATTCAGTATGTATTATGGTGAGTTTTCTTATTGTTTCTAGTTAACAAGAACCCATGGAGAGAAGCCAAGAAACCTGCTCACAATTAAACAGCTGGTGAATACAGGAACTAGAATTTGGGTCCAAGACATTCTTACCCTAAAGACTATTCCACACTATGCCCAAAATCACAAATCACACTGTTGGTACTTAAAAAGGCCACAGTACTTGTTTTGCCCCGCCAGTTAGTCACTGTATGATTTTGGATATCAGTATAAAATTTTTTGGCCTCATTTTTATCATATGTAAAATGATGGGGTTTGGTCAAAGCAATGCAAATAAATAAATATACATAAATTAAAAAAAATCTATGAACATTTTTATAATACTTGGCACTTCCTTTCTTTTTATGTACTAGACCTTGCTATATTTTAGCAAGGCATGGATACCACCTGAAATATGACTGTGTAGCTTTATGCACATGTTTTAAACTTTCTGAGCATTGATTATCACATTTTTTAAGGAAAATAGCAATACAGATTACAAGATAGTTGAAAGGATTCAATAAAATAATGTAAGTGAAACTTGATTTAAATGCATGCAACATTGCATTTCCTTCCTTCCTACTTTGCTCTCTCTTCTCATTACTGTCTTTTCTTCTTCCCTCCTTTTCATACTCCTTTCTTCTAAGTGTGCTTTTTATGCAAGTTCAGGACTTATATTTCAGGAATCATTTTTAAAGGAAATGAAAGACATGTTCCAAAGAGTTTAATGGTAAGAGCCCCAAGGAAGAGTGGAAGGGCAGGAGTTACTGTCCAGTGTCATTATTTCTCCAGAGCAGTGCCAAAGGAATGGAGGAGATGAGCTAATGTGTCATTATTGCCTCTAATCTCCATGATCATTGCTTCTGGAACTGACACAAGGGCCAGATGTGTTTCAGAGAAAACATGTATATTTGGCTTTGGAAGAAGGCATCAGAGCTTTTAACAACCTCTTAAGAATGCCTGATTAACCTTAGGGAGGTGCCCAGGGGACTCCAAAAGAATTGTTCTGTGTCATTTTGCTCATAAATAGTGTTTTGGAAGAGGAGAGATGAGATGGGAGGCAGTAGGAATACAGAAGTATAAATAAAGTGTCAGAGTGGTTCATATAAAAGGTATCAATGTCAGATCAGAACTAGAGGGCTTCCTGATATGATTTCCAAGTTGTCAAGTTGGCTATGAAAGACTATGGGAGGATAATGAGAATTGCTGACACTTTTAGAACAATGATTGAAATCTCCCATTGTCCATTTAGAATAGAGCCTATCTAGAGTCAGCCTGTTTGAACTGGGAGTTTCTTAAGCAGTGCTCTTCCATTGTACAGCTCCAAGGGACATCATTTGCATTGTAATAAATGTGAATGTCACTCCTGGGGTTGTGCAGTTGTGTAGTGCAAAGCCTGACATAGCCTTTAGTCCAATGCGTCATTTGTAGGTGAGTTATATGAGACTCAGGAGAGGGCAAGTCCCAGGCCAAGGTCATATAGGGTGTAGCAGAGTTGAAGAAGAAGCCAAATTTTTCTACTTTCAACTTGGTGATCTTTCAAATAAACTTGTGACTCCTAGCCTGTGGGTTATAGTTCTCTAAATACAGTGGAATTGTTACAAAGAGTACGAGGAGTCCTATATGTGTGTGTGTTTTCTGATCAATATACACCAGAAGTACAAATATTATCATGTAGTAGTCTTTTACAATTTCTTGTATTAAAAAAGGATTCCTTATTTAAGATGAGGTTGGCAACTACTGCTCAAATCACTTTGCCTGTCAATCAAACTGCTAATGTATATATTGTTCAATTTGTTTTTTTTTAACTAAAAAGAACATAAACAATAGTTTTGAAACATGAGACCTTGAGATGTACCTACCAGAGCTTGTCTAATGAAAGAATATCCAATGAGAATCTACTATTTTGTCTTAAAAATACATTACAGTGAGATCTGACCTGTTCATGGAAAAAGCTTTAGATTCACATCTAACTCTGTCACTAACTGCATGATCTTTGAAAGTCACTTATCCTCTCTCCTCTCATTTACTTTATAGGTAATTATTGAGTGCTCACCAGCTTCCAGCAATTTTCTGTAAAGAAACAAATAAAAGAATTCATCATAATCTTAAGGATCTCACAGTCTAATGAAAGAGAGATGAGAAAACAGTTGCTACACAGCACAGTAAGTTCTATGAACATTTTGTTGACTATTGACAACGGGAGCCTATAGAAATGAAATCTACCCAGAATCTGGGGAGAGAAGGGGGTGTGAGGATATTTTTCTCAGAGGAACCCATGCTGAAACTGAATTATAAACTGAAACTCATCACCAGCAAGTGAAGAGGGAGGGCAAGTTAAACTTTCCAGATAGAAGGATTTCAAGTCTAATGGGATAGGAGAATGAAACACTATGTACTGTCTGGCTCTCAATTTCTTACCCTCAGTTCTTTGGAACCTGAAATTGATGGAGAAGCAATCTATGAACTATTTTCCATATTTTAAGAAACTTAAAATCACAAAATTTCCCACTTAAGTGCTGCCAAGGCTAACTAAAATGTCAAGTTGCTTAGCCTTTGATTTAAATCATATCAACTAAATTGACCTCTCTGTGTATGTCAGAAGTAGAATTTGAGAATTATATGTAGCATTAATTTATAATAATGGAAAATATAAACATTTTACTTAGTAAGTATAATTTGGTAGATAAATTTCTTTCAACTATAGGATGAAGGGGGGATGTAATTAAATACATGGGGGCCTAGAGTGCTGTTACATCCTTTTGAGAAGTAGGACATTTATCGAGGTGTCTGGCTTATAGATATTACTCAGGAGCCACATGTTGAATTAATACATAAACAGATATCGGTTGTAGGCAGTCTTGCTTGGGGAGTCCCTTAATTCTTTTGTTGTTCATTAGCTTTCAAATCCAAGTTTCATTTACTCCTTCCTCTCTTTGAGATTCATGAATCAAGAAACAGATACTAAACATATGTATCAAAATGTCTGGATTGCCATCTCTCTCCTAAAGCAATTATATTTATAATAAAATCAATAAGAACTCAAAGTACCAAACTAAGTTACTAGACTTCTACCTTGGATAAGGATACTAGAATATCCTTACTAGGATAAGGCTTCTATCTATTGTGAATTGTAGTTAAATTTAATGATTATTTGCTTAGATTATAAATGCCTAAGAAGTTTAAGATACAGGGCATAACTTAAAGGGATTTGCAATTAAATTAGGTACAAATAAATACAGATGAAACATTTTAAGAAGTGAAACTAGATAGTCATGGTGCCCATCCCCCCATGCCTCTCCAGTTTCCCAGTTCTCTTCAAATAGATGCAATCTTCAGTTTTGGCCATAACTCCACCAAATATATCACTTTGCCATCTATATTATAGCCTCTGTAGTACTATTTGGGTTTCTTGCTGTAAAATAGGAATAGAAATGTAATACTAACTTTGTAAGATTTCCAAGAGGATAAAATGAGGTTACATGTGTAAAATATCTAGCACACAGATCATATATTAAAACTGTTGTTTCTTGGGGGAGGCAGCAAGGAATAGTGTGGATGGCTTGAATTTGAATGGAGAACAGCTAAATGTATGCTTTCTCTCTGCTTGCTACCGGTTTTGTGATCTTAGGCAAGTTAACCTCTCAGAACTGCTTTTCCCAATGTGTCAAGTGAAAATAAAACCTATTTTCTGGAAGTTACGTGAAGATAAAAATTAATCTATGGTACATGCCTAGCACAGTGCTTGGAACATAGAAGATAATACTATACAGAAATTTTTTCTCTCCTATGCTGGACAATGAGAAACTTGGAAACAGAAGCTTTCATTGAACTATTCATCATTGTATCTTCAGTCTCCAGTATCTAGGACAAAGCTTGAAACCTAGGAAGTTCTTAATAACTATGTGTTGAGCTGAACTGAATTTTTAAAAACATCAATTTAGTTAGGCTTACTTAGTGCATAGTATATACTAATTAAATTCAAGATTTCTCAAATAAAGGTACACACAGATTAGGAACATAAGAATCTGGAAAATCAAGATCCAGAATATTAAGGGTTAAGAAACTCATGTTTTGTATCTAAATCAGAGGTTGTTCTGTGTATATATATATCATGGGTCATTAGCAGCAGAAGTTTGAGAATCTTTGTCCTAGTGCTCAGACATTATAGGACTCAGCTGTGTTCCAAATGCCTGCTGATCTCTCTCTTTGCTCCCAACTAGTAAATTCTTATTCTTCCAGTTCAGTTTCTCATGAGTGGATAATGAGGTACTTCAACTCATCTTTGGGAACAGGCCATGAAATACTTTCCTACTCAGCCTATGAATTATCTGCTCCTTGGTCATATGGCTACTTTTGATGTACAGAGGCCATACCTACCTCCCAGAGCAGGAAGCCTGGGTACAGTTGCAGCTAGAAGAGGGAAGCTGGGCATGGCAGTCAATTTAAGGGGCCTGTTCAGTATACTTCATCCCTTGACTTCCATCCTCTCACACCCTTCATTTCATAAAGTTTGTTTGTGATTATCTAAACTTGTTCAGATGCAGGAATAGTAAATGCAGTTATTACCCTGTCTGATGGGGATCTATTCATGGGATGCTTTTGTATTTCTCACCTATACCTCCTTAAAGAAGAGATGCATGGGGGCACCTGGGTGGCTCAGATGGTTGAGCATCTGCCTTCGGCTCAGGTCATGATCCCGGGGTCCTGGGGTCGAGTCCCGCATCAGGCTCCCTGCTCCTTGGGAGCCTGATTCTCCCTCTGCTTCTCTCTCTCTGTCTCTCATGAATAAATAAAAAAATCTTAAAAAAAAAAAAAGAAGAGATGCATGGACTATTCTAATGCTCTTGTTTAAAATATACAGTGCATGGGGCACCTGGGTGGCTCAATCGGTTAAGCATCTGACTCTCAATTTTGGCTCAGGTCATGATCTCAAGGTTGTGAGATTGATCCCCACATCAGGCTCTGTGCCTTCCACCTTGGGAGAAAGAGATAAGGAAGATGAGAAGTTAGCTTTGTCCTTGAGGGAAGGGGAAAGGGCACATTCAGAAAAGGCTGAGTCTAGGCCAGGTGTGGTTGCTGCAAGGCACATCTTAAGAGGAGGCTTTAAGATCCAAACTGGTCCCACTCCATTTCCTTCCTAAGAACAAGATAAGCAACTGGTAATAGGATCCAAGCAAGTTCTAGAGGGGTCATTGTCATTGCCATCAATTTGTTGCAGGCTGCATTCTGAGCAAGAATACTGAAATCAAGAAAATCTGTCTGGGGACCAAAGATATGGGGTTAAGAAAAGTACAACTGGTGCCTTTTCAATTTTTTTTTCCATTTTGCCCACTATACTCAAAAAATAAGCATTCTGATGCCTTCTTTTAAAAGATGTTTGATTTGGTTGGTCCATGTAGGTTGTCTAGAGAGAATTGAAATAGAATATGTACAAATTAAGGTGGCTAAGAATTATTCCTAACTATCCTTTTTCCTAAAAGTTTTACAGATGCTATCACTTCACATGATCCAGCAATCAAGCATACAACTTTAATGTATTTACCTTGCCCACAGTAAGAAGCTCAAAATCATACAAAACCACTTCATTCAATGGTTATGATGTCATGAAGTCCCTTTAAAGACCTTCATCCTCATCACCCATAAACTCTAGGTGATGTTAATTCTTCCTTTAGATCTATCATAATGCCATCTGACTATTATTCCTCACTGTTTCACAACCTATAAACTAAATGGTAGCTATCAACACCAGTAAGCACACCCAATATATAATAATTGAAAAGGAAAATTAAACTAGTAATGACTACCTTAATTGTTCTTGTGCTTAAAACAAAAAAGAGAGAAGGGACTAGTATTTTTCATTGCCACACATCCTATATTCCTTTAACTTTCAGACAACATTGCAGTTGGACAGGGATTTTACTTTAAGAGACGTGATCTTCATTCCTTTGGGGTCTAAGTCCTGGGTAGTCTTGCCAATATGAAACTGAGATCATTTTCTATTAACCTGCTCCATTGGGTGTGATGATACAAAGAGTTCCCCAGGAAGTCTCCCAGTTCCAGGGGTCTACCCATACATACTTCTTGCAAGCACAAAACACAGTAGAAGCCAATTACCTCTTTAGACTTAGTGTCAACAGTTTGGCTAATACTGGAACTATTTCCCAATGGTTACATCAGTAGTCTAAGAAGCTAGAAATGCCCATGTGGCAATCTCAACTGCAATTTAATCTAAGCATTACTGTGCACCTAATTGGATATGTCATTTTCTTGGGAACTAAAAACTACAGGCTAGCAGAGTTCAGTTATTGGGATGGGAAACAAAATTTAAAAGTGATTGATTCTCAGACCTATATAATTTGGCTTTGGAGGAAGCAGCATCATTTATGGGTCACTAGTTCAAATCATGTGACTTCAAAGTTACAAAGCAATTCACAGGTTGATGTCATATAGTAGGAAAGTTTTAAATAGGTCTTTCCAACATTCAGTAAAGCTAGCTGTTTTTGTTTGTTTGTTTTTGCATGATAGGCTGCTAATAATTCCAGTTATCTCAAGAGCATTAGCCATTGCCTCCCTACTTTCATGTGAAATGATGTCCTTTGGTTAGATACAAATGCTATTGTGAAGACAATAAATGCTTTGTCTTCAAAACATTTAACAAATTCATGGATGATAGTGTTCTCAAAAGCATGATGGGTAGGGAAAGCAAGTCCAGGACAAGAGTATATTCCAGTGGCAGGTGAAGTAGAAGGAGTTTGATGTAAATAAGATAGCAGCTAGTTGCTGAATCCTCTTGATTTGGGGTGCCAAATTGGGGTGGGGCTAGGGGTTGCTCTCTATCAATGGAAACTTGTATTAGTTGTGATGGTATCCAGGTTAGCCAAGATGAGGTGCCCATATAAATCTTTTGTTTTTTCTAATTTCAATTTATAATCCTAAATTAAGTTCAAATTTTGTTTATGGCTTTCCACTGGCTCGCTTTCTTTCTTTCTTTCTTTCTTTCTTTCTTTCTTTCTTTCTTTCTTTCTCTTCCTTCCTTCCTTCCTTCCTTCCTTCCTTCCTTCCTTCCTTCCTTCCTTCCTTCCTTCCTTCTTTCTTTCTTTCTTTCTTTCTTTCTTTCTTTCTTTCTTTCTTTCTTCTTTCCTTTTTTCTTTCTTTCCTTCCTTCCTTCCTTCCTTCCTTCCTTCCTTCCTTCCTTCCTTCCTTCT